AGATTACAGATATCTGGATCCAACTGATAATCTTAACGTTAACCGATACAGATCTAGTTTTTTCAAAATCGTTGTCTGTGGGATTCGAACTCTAGACCTGCCGCGACAACTCCACCACTTCACTAAGTCGCCACACCCTTATCAATATAATAGTTTATAATAAGGTTAAATATATTATTATTTTTAAATAAATTATTGTTATTTTTTAATTTATTTATTGTATTACTTTAATTCTGCTTCAATATTGCAAATTACTTTTTATTTTCTTTTGCTAATTGCTTTAGTTTTATAATTCTAGTATTGAGTTTAGTATTTTTTAATCTTAATTTTTTAGTATTTTGTTCTAATTCTATTATTCTAGTTATAAATTTTACTTTTTTAGCTAAGAATTTAGCCTTTTTCTTTTTAAGTTTAGTATTTTCAGCTATAAGCTTGGAAATCTATTTTAATAAATAAGATTTAAATTATATATTTGCTATTTTTTAATATAATATATAGTGGCAATTATAAGTAATAAAGTAAAAAAAAATTTTACTTAGATTACATTATTTTGAACAATTTTAAATATATTTTTTTAGGGATTATATATATGGGATGGAGTCAATAGAAATAGGACAAATTTATTAGATAAATTTGTCCCATTTCTATTGACTTCACCCCATATATACCCAAAGGTACATATATCTGTATTATGTGATCTATAGTTCGCTACTAAAATTCAAGATTAGATGCAATGTTACATGCTCAGAAAAATTCAAAACAAACATTCGTTTTGACAAAAATCGCTCATTTTGCAAGAAACTGCATACTAAACCACCTTTTGTATAATAATAAAAAGTTTTTCTTAAGCGATTTTACTATATAGTAGTCTAAACTCTAATTCTAACATAGTTATTACTCTAACTCTATTCTAAATAATATTGGTATTGCTGGTTTTGTATATAATATTATATGATCAAAATAATAAGTACAAAAAAAATTTAATATACCCTATGAGTATAACTATATTAATTCAATTTTTTATTTTTTTTATTTTTTTCATAAAAACTATAAATTTTATATATTAAAAATTCAAAAAAAATAAATAATTTTAATTTTTTGTAAATATAAACATTATTTTATTTGATGTGTTATATTACTTTTAATTATATATTACAACACAATATTAAACAAAAAAATTTATTTATATATAAAAAAATTTTTTTTTATTTTGGTTCTTTTAATCTCTACTATCTGGTATATTTATTACATGCTTTGATAATATTACAAATTTGTTCAGATATGAATTGAATAAGATTAGTATATATTTCACTATTAATTTGTTTCCAAATAATCTAGATCTTGTTTTATAGGTTTTCTTTACTCAAAATTTGTTTGAGAAGGTTTCTAAATTAATAATCAATTTCAATTTACAAATAAGATAAAGTCAATAGAAAAGGGACAAATTTTTTTTAAATAAAAGTTTTCTTGATTTTAAACTTAAATATCTTAGCAATTATTTTATTAAATTTTATAATTTTTTTTATTTTAATTTTATATAATTTCAAAATTAAAATAAAAAAAAAATTTAGTAAATTTGATTAATTAGTTGTTAAGATATTTTAATTTAAAAATTAAAAAAAATTTTACTAAACATAATTTGTCTCTTTTTTATTAACTCCACCTCAAATATTTGATAGAGTTGATTAAGCAAGCTAATTCAATACTTTAATATGATTATTTCTTAATTAACACTTTTTTATATTTACTATATACTTCTGATTATTGTTTTGCTAAAAAATCATATTACAAATATTAAACCTATGATTTCTAATAGTACTCAAAAAATTCTCATAAAGTATTTATTAATATAACTTGCTATCTATGCAGCCTTTAATTCTACAAAAACCACCAATACTATAAGATGAAAAACAGCTTCAAATCATAACAGAAACACCTTTATATTTTACTATAGGCTTAATATAAAAGTTACTTAAAAGTTCATCGAGATGCTTCCAATAATATTGCTTATCATCTAATCTAAAAATCTTGAATTTCAATTTATTAGACCAAATTACCTTGGCTCAATCTTTATAGATCTAATTTTTATATTTTATTGCAAATTCTAACTAATATTTTTTATAAATTTTGCTTAGGTAAGGCTTTTTCTTTTAATTTTCAATACTAAACTATGAGCTCTAAATATACGACAGATAGTAAGCATAAAAATATCAATGTTTTTTTGTTTTTTAAGCTAGAAAGAAACTTCAATAGCATTTGAACAACAACAAGAAGTAATTAGATTCATTATTCTTCTTTGGGTTAATTTGCCTAGAACAATTAGATGACTAACTCTTTTCAAGTTTTCAAGTACACAGTACTTTTTTCACTTATTTTTGATATGAAATACAGTAGAGGAACCAAATATTATAAGCAATATCTACTACCAGAGTTGTACATAAATATTACTTTGTTAAATTTCAGAAACACAGATAGTTCTAAATAATGTCCTATGTTTATAATAGTGTCCTATAGCACAAAGTTTATTAATCAACCTTATTAGCTAAAAAGAATACTCTTATTATAATTTTTAATTGTCTAGAACATTAATATTTTGGTAAACTATCTGTTGTCCATGTCCCTGTCCCATAACAATACTGCCTACTTCCCTTGTGAAGTATCCTTTTTGCAGTAACAGAAAATATTAACCCTTGGGCTAGAGTTGTTTATTCTTTTTTTTTTGAAATTTAATTATCAATTAGATTCAACATTGTACAATGATACAAAAGCAACAATGTATTTTACTTTTATATTGTTGTTTGTGTCGTACAAACGCCTCATATGATCTTAATTGGGAACGATCAAAAGTAATGCATCACGTGTTTCGTGTTACACGCGTTATTATTTTTGAATCGGCAACAACATTTAATAAAAATTTAATATCAAAAAAAATAACTATTCACGAATAAATTAAAAAAAAAAATAAAAGGATACGTCCAGAATTGCTCGCAATAACGTGATCTAAGTAAAATTTTTTTTTTGCTCCATTACTTATGACAGCCACTGTATATATATATTCAATTAATTATGCTGATACGGAAAAAAGCATGATTAGCAGATAAAAAATCATGTGAGCGTAAAGATTCTTCACGCTAATGCCAAGAAAAATTTTTAAAAACCAGAACAAATTCCAAAAAAATATACTTGCAAAAAAAGTAGACTGATTATGTATGCGAAATCAGCCACCAGAATCAGATTTGTTGATGCGGTAAAAAAAAAGTAAGTTTCAGGAAATATATAAAGGATTAAATTCTTGTTCTTCATCTTTTAATACAATAAATTTTCTCTTTAATGGAGAAGAAGAAGAAGAATGTGGCAGTGATGCAACAGTAAATATTGTAGAATCTGATATTGTAGAACCTGAAGACTTTGAAATAACAGTCGTCGTTTCTGTAGAGTCATCAGTATTATGCAATATCCTGCGCTGTGATAATTTTTCACTGTGCGGACTGTGCGCAGCACACAGAAACAAAATTTTGCGCACACTTTTTTTGAATAGATGT